CCCCAAAACCCCAAAACCCCAAAACCCCGTGGTTTACATATTGGCTGAATTGTTGGAATCTCTTTTAAATTTTACAAATAAAATAGGAAAAAATTAGTTTTTAAAGTTTTTATTTAAAGTATAAACTTGAATAATGTAATTTACGTCATTTAATATTATTAAAGCTTTAAGACAGTAGTGAAATAGCAAAAATCATTTAACCTATATTCCAAATACTTAAGGCAGATTTCAAATGCATAATTACCAATCAGATACTTATCAAAGAAATCATTAATGTATTTTCTAATCGAGAATATGCTTAATAATTTGACTCATCTCCAATTTGAACATATTTGGGTAGAGTTTTTGAAGATGTTTACCATTAATTTTCCCAATAGCAATATCATTATAGAGATGATATATTAAATCTTTTAAATTTCTCTCCTTTTTTTCTTCTTTCAACTTATCAAGTTAGACATCTTATTCAAAGTAGTTAAGGATCTTGAAAAACTTATTTAAACATTTGAGATCATCTTTGTTTTTGTTCAAAAGCTAATCACCTTCATTTATATTGTCAGATATTTTCTTATTAAAATTAATCATTATTGTGATTTCAATAGCGTTCATAACTATTTGCTTGGCAAAAAATTAGAAGTCTAAATAAGGATTAAGTGAACAAAATTATAAGAGTGAGCATTGAAAATCTATAAGATTAGCTACTTATTAAGCAATTACTTATTCTACTTCCGAAAAATGGAACATCTAAACTATTGATGAAAACTCTGAATGAGCATCATCACATATGCTAGCCATGAGAAGTTTAAACCCTAAAGTCCTTAGTATTTCGACTTCCTTGGTTATTATTTATTATTCTGTAAATTTCATGTGACCAGCCTTACTTACTAATTGTTCTATTTCAATATGAGATACATCTTCAAATTTCGAACTCATAAAAATACTTGTAATACCTATTAAGTGAATATCTTCTTTTCTTAGCCTATTAGATAACTCATAGTTTCTAAGAAAGTATTTATCCATTATTTAAACCGACAGTATAAATGTCTTAGTTGAAACAACTTCAAGGACTCTCAATACCTATAGCATCCAATTAACCATTTTTTAACGATTATTCATGCTCAACCCATGATATTCATAGACTTAATCAACGTTTTATTAGATAGTTTTCTCTTGTTTAAGTAATTTTTAATCATTCTACCTGATATATAATACTTTCTCATTATCTTTATTTAATGATTTATAGTTCCCTTGATTACATTCCAAAAACCTAATTAGATCTATCAAAGTGCATTCTTTTTTCTTCTACCAAGTTTAGTTTTAACTTGATGAATCTGAGTCTGAAGCTTAGTGTTTATTTTTATCGAAATTATCTTTTTTATCAATAAGATTATAATCAAAGCATTAGATCACTTGGGTTTTTGCCATCACATCATCATCTTCAATCATCCTTAGATTTGTTTTGAATTTTTTTACTATGTATTATTTCTAAAGAATTCCAGGATTCCTAATACTCGTATTTATTTTGTCGTTTTCATCTTGATAAAAATCAGCTTATGCAGTTTAAGTTAAGGAAGGTTGAGAGTCAACTAGGCTTAGCTAAAATTTTATGTTGTGTTGCTTCCTATCTTATTAATAGACTTCGAGTATTTTTGTGAAGTTAAGTGTAGAGTTCAAATTTTACACTCCTTACTGTTATCCTAAAATCATTTTTTCTGGATTTGAGGGGATAACGAAATCCCTAATAGTAGGATTGTCAAATTCATTATAGAATTTTCCACTTTGATCTACTTAATTGTTAATCACCATGTGCTTGGTTAGTGACTTTCTAGATATTAATTACTATAGTTCAAGCTGATTTCCTATATCAGATTAAAATTTTAAATTTCAATTAGATTAAATTCATTGATAGGGATTAAGGCTAAATTATTTTGATTTGATTTTCAATATCATTCCTTAAAATGTAAATTTGCTGAAATTCGCCTTAAGGGGTTTTGGGGTTTTGGGGTTTTGGGG